AGTAGTAGAATTTATTATTTTACTAGGGAACTCCCAACAGGCGTTGCCTTTTTACTGGGAACCCTAGGACTGCCGGATTATGAAATCAAACTACGTGCAGTTTGAGCGATTCGTTTCAAAAAGTCACTGCCGGAGGCGAAATTCAAGTGCCGGATTAAGATGTAGGAATTGAACGAAAAAAATCGGTTTCATCAGAAAGTGCGCCGGTTGGCAAGGGTTCCGGATAAACAAGTGCCGGATTAGAGAGGGACGACTGTACTAGGTAGTTGTATTTAGTGCTGTGCACTACTTGTATATGCTATGTAGTTACATTGACTGTTGCTGCAGTGTCCATGTAAACATGGTAGTCTAGATGTACATGTATGTCTTCAGCTCACACACACACTCACAGAGTCACACACACACACACACACACACACACACACACACACACACACACACTCACACTCACAGAGTCACAAAGACAGTATACTATGCAACGAACACCTAGCCTGCAGGATACTAGTTGATCAGCTATGGTAGATGTATGAGGCGTTGACATGTCATGTCGGCACGGTGACGGCTTTTCTATGGTAGCTGGAGCTGCGCAAGAAATGTCTACTTGGCTTACTTAGTTTTCTGTTGTGATGAAACAATGTCAGTACGAAAGGTAGGACAGCCTCTGCATTGTAACTGGAGCTGCGGAAGAACTGTCTGCTTGATGTACTTAGTTTTCTGTACTGGTGAAACAATGGCAGTATGAAAGGGAGGAATGCCCCTCATAATCAAATACAGTCAACTTTGCCAATAACGACACTCGGCTGAGCATCAGAAAAGTGTCCTTGTTCGCGAAGTGTCCTTATACCCGAAGTCCCATTTGAATGTATGTGAACCCGTATTTTGTCTAGTATGACATGCATATCAAAATGAAGCTCTTTTCCTGCTCTATGCATTGTGTACTTTATTTTCATATTGCGATTGAAAGGAACTATAAAGTCAATATGCAAGGGAAATAATAGATTGAAAAATTAGCCTTTTGCAGCCATCTACAGGGACATGCACAATCATGTACATGTATGATGATTACTTTACAATCATGTACAACTACATGACATCACCCAAACTATTTTGAAGCAAAATAATAAAATAAAATAAAAAGCCCCCCCCCCCCCCCTCTTGGCTGCATCTTCTTGCATGTGTTATCCATCACCATGGGTTCTGGTATTACTGCATGACAAGTACTTGAAATAGCTGTCAAAAGCCCTGAAAGTCGTTATTCAAGCATTGAATATGACCTCCGGGCACTAAAAGCATGTCGCTATCCGCGAAATGTCGTTATTCAGATAGTCGTTGTATCCGAAGAAAAATATAATACAGCTAGATGGGACTTTGCTCTGGGCATAGAAATTCTGTCGTTATTCGCAAATTGTCGTTATATCCGCAGTCGTTATTAGCCAAGTTGACTGTAATAGATAATGAGAAATGTTGCAGAGCATGTGATTTCAGCAGACGTGTCACATGATTGGCACACACTGGTTTGAACAGTGCTAGGATAAGAAGTTCTATGGAAATGTTTTGCACTGACACTCAGTGCATGACCACAGATATCTGGCGTGCAGATAATGTGGTGCAACTTCAAGAGATTCAATACCACCTTCTTCTCAGCTTTAATTTGCTCAAATGCACAGCGGTCCGTAACATTCCACTGAAATGCTTGTGCTCAAATGGTCGTGCTAAACTGTCCATGTTGAAATTCTGGTGCTGAAATGGGATTAATCCGGGTGTTGTAGGCTAGCTAGACCCATTTCATTCTGAACTTATCCTTCCCAGTTTCTTCAATAACTTCTTCCTCACATCTACATCACATGTATTGTGCTTTGTTCTGGTGTATGTGTACACGTATGTGTATTGTGCAGCTGATAATGGCCAGTACGCAGCAGCTCTAAATGAACTGATCAAGGAAGGTGTCCAGTTGATACCGTACGGGCGCCTGATAATGTGCGGGCCAGGCCGCACAGGCAAGACCAGCTTCCTGCGATCCCTCCTGCATCAAGCGTTCATGTCTCAAGTCGACAGCACAATCGGTGTGGAGCTGGAGAAGGTGATCTGCACTATCGAGAAACAAGGGTTAAAGTATGTCTGGAAGCAAGCTGAAGATTCTTACCAGCAGCAGTTGGCCCTGACGCACAGAGCTGTTGGTCAAGAGAAACGGAAGAAAGAGATCGTAGCCGCACTGAGACAACAAGGCGTCGCTATCCCCGAGAACACCAGGTCCACATCCTCAACGACATCAACGCCCGTTGCATCACCTGCCGTTGGGATTGAGACTGAGCAAGCAGGTACAGCCAGTGTGAGTGAAACTACTCTCAGGCAAGCTGATGAAACCACCGATACCGGGTACTCTGCTCAATCACCCACCAGTCCTACCATGGAATCTCAGAATGTTTCCACTGCATCCAAGCCAGAAGAGGTATCAGACATGGCTGCGCTGAAGGAAGAGACACCAGAGCAAGATGTTCAGCAACTACAGACAGAAATCAACTCAGCAACATTGAAGTTCGAAAGTTTCATTAAAGATCTGCGTACAGGCAAAAGCGAAGTTTTCACTGCAGAACACCTCAAAAATCTCACGTTTATGGATGTCTGGGACTTTGCTGGTCAGAAGATGTTTGCTGCTATCCAGCACATGGTGCTGGCCTGCACCAGATGTGCATATGCTGTCGTCTTTGATGCCTCAAAGAAGCTCCAGGCCAGAGCGAAGCCGACATTTGGTGTAGATGGTGAGGAACTGCCGCTTTCCAACAACCTGGAGCAGACCAACTTTGATGTGATGGAGACGTGGTTCAACGCTATCCACGAGGTCATTGGAGACAGCGACAACGTACCCGTGTTTGCCATTGGCACACATGTGGACAAGTTACCTAAGAATCCAGAAGCAAGGAAGAAGGCAACTGAAGAGATAAAGAAGTACATCTGGGCCAATGCAGAGGGAAAAGCATACGCCAACAACATCGACAAGGTGGTATTTGTGGACAACACACGAGCTGGTAAAGATCCAGAGGACCCAGCAGTTGTTCAGCTACGGCAAGACATAATCCAGCAGCTGCAGCATCAGTTCAATGTTCCCATACCAATCCGCTGGCTTCCTGTGACCATCTCTATTGGGCACATTGCAAAATCGTTTGAACGACCATGGTTATCGGTTGAGGAGCTACGTCGCTTGGCCATTGCTGTTGGTAGCATCTCCAGTGATGATCCTGAGTCAGATTTCCAGGAGATGGTGAAGTTCCACCATGGTCTTGGCCATTTGCTTCACTTTGTTCACAATGCCCGCCTTCGTGATCGTGTCATCATCGACATCCACTGGGTTCTGAAGACCATGTCATTGCTCTTCTGTCCTGAACCAAAGGATATGCAGAGCAAGCGTCTACGTCCACAGTACGACTTGCTGACTCAGAATGGTATCCTCCTTGAAAGTCTTGCCCTGCACCGCTGGTCACAGCACAATCGTATGACATCGCGCTACACGGCCACAGAAGAACAGCGTGATTTCCTGTTCGAGATGGGTGAGCACTTTGCCCTGTTCTACAACACCAAGACAACTGTGAAGGTGCCTGGTCAGATGAAAGAGGTGACAACTCGCAAGTTCTTTGTACCAGCTCTGGTGGAGCGAGTTGCACGTGTTCAAGACGAAGTGAGCAAAGGCAAGCCAAGTTCAGCTATGTACCTGTATAGTGGTGCAGATCGTTACTTTCCACAAACCCTATTCTGGTGTGGTGTTGTGAGGTGTATGCAACGCTACAGTCCAAAGGTGGATCCAATCCTCTATCACACATCGGCACGTATTCTGGTGAAGGATCGCTTCTGGCTGGTCATGCAGTATTTCCAGCATGGCATTCGCCTGTCACTGGAGATTCCTGTTGATGCCCGACCAGCTGCTAAGTCTTCGATCACCAGTGCTACTCCTGTTCCTGCTGCTGCCGGTGTGAGAAAGTCAGTTGAGTCCGCTGGCATTGGAGCTGCTGAAAGTGAGGATGAGGCTGAAGCTATCAAGCTTTGTCATGAGCTTCTACCGTACCTGGAGTCGGAGCTCGACAAGCTGAAGGCATTCTCCCTGACTCATGTGAAGTTTGGCAGAGCTGTTCGCTGCCCGTGCTCGTTCAGCCGAGATGCGTGTCGCAAACACAAGCAGAAGTCTTGTGTGGAGATTGGCTGTCAACACTTTGCTCCGTTGGTGGAAGGATTGCGTCCACGCTGTACTATCGGAGCACGTCCGTCAGTGGATATCAGTGATGTACGTCAATACTGGCCTTGCTTTGTCGAAGACACACAGGTCAGTGCAATGGGCGATAACATTGCTTACATTGGTGCTTCTCTTTCTATTTGCCAGCTAAAATTGCAAAAGTGATAAGAAAAAGACAATAATGTCGTGCCCCTGGTTTTTCCTGAGTCAGTATTATAGCCGTACTGTCAGACTGACTTTCGATGCCGTAGTGACAAGCTACAGAACTCCATCTGAGAAGCTTCCTTTTCTTGCTACAAAACTTCACAATGCAAGGACAGTCTGTTAGAGTGTTGTTTGTTGAGATGCTTCCATTTCCGCCATTCCGGCTGTCTACTTTCTATCTGAGCGGACTGAACACAAAAAGACTGCAATGCGCACGCATGCAGTCAGGCACGCACACATATACGTACTTACACCCGCACGCATACGCATACCCCCCCCCCCCACACACACACACGCACACACACACAAGTATGCACACATACATACGCAAGCACGTGCACACACGCGTATGTACACACACATATGTACACACACATGCACGTGTACGCACACGCACAAAAAAGCTAATAAATGCATAGGATCCTCGCTACCCAATCTGACGTACACGAGATTGTTCACCTTTACGCTCTGGACACGATTTTCATTTTTTCTGGTTCCTTTAAAACATCAAAGCAAATGTCTGTACACTGAATGTTCTTCTTGGTCTGTTTCCGTGTGTATGTTCCTGCTTTAGTCCCCATGTGGCGCTAGCAAGGAAGTCCCACAGCTTGGAACTGAGACTAGAAGTAAGTGAACCATTTAAGCAATAACCAAAAATCTATTGTGGCGAATGATCAAGGATACCATCTATTCTCGGGGGGGGGGGGGGGGGGAGGGGGGGGGGGAGAGAGTTCTCAACATCTTTTTAATTAGTATCTAAAATTGGGAAATTGGTCAGAGGTACAATCATGCCCCCCCCCCCCCCCCACACACACATACACCTCTAGTGTTCCATAATAATTATGAGGCTGGTCACCAAGGGCAATGGTGTAAGCGGCCCTGATGGCAGTGGTGGTGTAAATTTAACAGAGGTAGCTGTGCATGGGTTTGAATTAAGGCACGCCCTGGAATGTACAGTAATGTATTTTACAATAATTATATTGTTATTAAACCTCTTATGGGATGTTTCTCCGTTCTTTTTCTGTCTTTTGCTTAATTTTGTTCCAATGTCGAGTCATTAATTTCCATACCGTATGCGGTTTTGAAATGCAAAATTAATTGTTTTGGGAACACCCTATCGTGCACCGTGATGTAAAGAAAGTCACCTTTCCATGTTGGCATGCATGTCCGTTGCTTTAAGAACCGGTGCAGCCGTTGATGAGATACATCTACATCTCCACGCACTGGTTAGTTGTCTTTTTCTCGGGATTCACTTTCTGCAGTGTCTCTGTTCTTTGAAAGAAGTTGGGATTGTTTTCAAGTAGGTTTGATTGCCGTACCGGTATTTCCCCTGTTGTATTGTGCAATCCTGAATTTTTCTGACCTTGTGCACCTCTTCTGGTTGCGTTCTCATGTTCTTGTCTGTCAAGGCGTGCCTGTAGCTGATCAGGTTGCTGCCGTCTCAGCTTCAGAGAGGGCCAGTGCGTATCATCAGGCTCTCCGTAAGCATTTCACCGCTATCAAGAGCTGCAGTGACATTGATGTGGTGGACTGTGTTGAGAGCTTGAGAGCTGAAGGTCACATCACGGATGACAGCGTCGTGGAAATCCGGGACGTACACGACTCGGCTGGAGAGAAGAAGGCACTGGATCGAATGTGTGTGACACTGGAGAAACTAACTCCGGATGCCATGTGCTACGTCGTGGAGGATATCCTGCCGTCGCAAGGTCTGTCACAGCTCGTGGAGACATTCCGTGTGTGTCCTGGTCCTGGAAAGTGTTCACTGCATCGCAATGACCTGCATCCTGTATCAGTGTGTTCCAGTGACAAGACACTGTCCATGCAGACTAGTGTTGATGCCTCCCAGACTGGTAATGTCAAGAGTAGTAAACTTGAGACTGGGGTAAGAACTCTACTCTCTACAGTCTACTTTAAAATTCTGTTTGCTGATTGTACAGTGAAGCACACATTGCAGTACACCGGCACTTCCTTGTGAAAACGTTTGAGGATGTGAGGATGCTCTCACTAGTGCACAAAAGAGTAGGCTCACTTTGAGGCAAAGTACAGCGAGAGATGCTCCCACAGTGGTCAAAATCTTCCACTGAGGGGGGGGGGGGGGCAGGGGCATCATGCCTCAACTATTCTGAGTAGCAACCAGTTCAATAAGAAACAGAAGGATGTGTGTTTGGAGAATTATCGTATCGATGCACAGGCCATACATCAACATACACTAGTGGTGAAACGAATATCAAAACCCAGTAGCCGAATATTCTTTGGCTTAACGAACGAACGAACGAATATTCTTTCGTTAAGACGGATGACATCACATGCCCCCCTCCCAGTCATATTTTTGGACATTGTCTCTATTATTAGGCATGACAAACGAAGGCACATATTTCTCCATCATTTCTAGGTCAATTTTCACAAAATCCCAGCTGAAGTGCATTTCACAGGCTCAAAAACATCTTGAGACGTGATTTTTCGTTCAAGCGCCATAACTCCACTCCAGGACCTCGGGTTGCGTTCGGGTTGCTTCTAGATGACAGCTGAGAGTTTTGTAATGCCGATAGATCTTTCGATGAAGCGATTCGGTCAAGTATTTGCGAAGTTACGAAAGTTTGAAGTCGCCCGGTAAACTCTGCATACAGAGTTAACGAATAATCGCCATGAGAAATATTCGTTCGAATGTGCCAAACCGAACAAATATTCGAATATTCGGTATATTCGTTTCACCACTAACATACACATAATAATTATACACTCATACGCCTCTAGACATGCAGCAGATAACCTTTATTTTTGTGTGTACACATGTGCCCAGTGAGGTTACGCAACAGCTTTCTCTTGATATCAGTAACAGCAGCACTCCAAAGTGTACTCTTGACCGAGAGCACATTGTGGAGTGACGCTGTTACTGAAAATCACGTAATGACCTGTCACCAAGTTTGCTATCAATTTGTCTCCGAGCCCTTTCGGAACACTGAGAAATTCTCATGAATCTGTCTTTTAATCTTTGCTGCAGATGTCTGATCTGCTCCAAGACGTGCTGCGTTCAAGCTATGTGGAATTGAAGCGTAGTTTGGACGTAGAAGAGGGCATTCTGGACCGTCTCTATGCAGAGAGCATCATCACAAAGCGCTTCTGCAAGAAACTCCGTGCTATGGATGATCGTGAAGATCAGGTAATGCTTGTGATGATGTGTAGCTACATCTCCAACCTAAGTTGAATTTGAACTGAAAGTAGGTATAGAGAGTACGTGTGTTGTGGCTGATTATCCTTCGGTCAGCATACCTGGGCAGGTAGCAGCAAGACGGGTGTCTGCGGGGCTAAATACGATTTTGGAGAAGAAAATCATTTGGCTGTACCTGGAAAACACCAATCTTGCTGGTAATGGTACAAATAGTAACATCATCTAGCTGTATACAGCTGGCCATGTATGTATGTATTTGGACAGGCGGCTACTGAGCTACAGCTTGGCAAAGCGAGGGGTTACATAATGAAGATCAGAATTGTGTTGTTTGCCAGTGGGTAGAAAATTGCTAAAATGCATGTTGTCTGGGTCTTTTCTATTGGAATGTTGTGTCTCAGGCAACTGTCTTCTTGGAAGCACTGCCGGGCTGTGGCAAGCAGGCGTTCCGTCAGTTTGTGTCCGCTCTGAAAGAGAGTGAGAAGCTGGCCCACCAGGAGCTGGCTGATCTCCTCCAGGAGAAGCTGCTGGAGATGACACCCGTAAGTGTGTTGTTTTGTTCTTGATACTTCCAGCGGCATGCGCCATTCCCATTGGCACAGTTTTAGATTTTCTCTTATGGCCGGTATCATTATTGTTCAGTGCATGCCAGGCTTTGACAAAATCAGTTTATCAGAGTTCTAGCGAAAGCTGGTTAGGGGTGCGCAGCGCCCCCTACTCTTATTCAGCACCCCCCCCCCCCCCCCGTGAAAAGGTGGCGCCCTTTACTCATTTATAGATTTTGGGTTTTTTTTCAGGCAATTCAACGAGAATGCAGTCAATAGTCACTAACAGAGGGGTCCTATAGGCATTCTTGTCTGCGGTGCAATCGGGGGTTCGCTTCCGTACGTTGCATTTGGCATGGCAAGGCATTTTTGGAAAATGGAAAATGGGTTATGGGGTAACTGTTTCCCCTGCCCACCCCAGGCACGCAGCTTGTGTGTAGTCGGCGTAGTCAAGTCACCACACCAGCAAATGTCTGTTGTAGGTACTGCATAGTCAAAATAGGCAAAGTGACAGCTATGAGTTTAATGGTGGCACATGGTCATCACACCACAGACATGCTCTGATACAGGGTCATCACACCACAGACGTGCTATGATACATGGTCATCACACCACAGACATGCTCTGATACAGGGTCATCACACCACAGACATGCTCTAATACAGGGTCATCACACCACAGACGTGCTATGATACAGGGTCATCACACCACAGACATGCTCTGATACAGGGTCATCACACCACAGACATGCTCTGATACAGGGTCATCACACCACAGACATGCTCTGATACAGGGTCATCACACCACAGACATGCTCTGATACAGGGTCATCACACCACAGACATGCTCTGATACAGGGTCATCACACCACAGACATGCTCTGATACAGGGTAATCACACCACAGACATGCTCTGATACAGGGTCATCACACCACAGACATGCTCTGATACAGGGTCATCACACCACAGACATGCTCTGATACAGGGTCATCACACCACAGACATGCTCTGATACAGGGTCATCACACCACAGACGTGCTCTGATACAGGGTCATCACACCACAGATGTACAAGCTACAATCCTGTGCCCTACTACTATTTTGACCTGGCTAGAACCCTGTTTATTATTATCTTAGCGTTGTAGTACGGTTTTGTTGCAGTATGTTATTTTGTGTACGTCGTGTGGTCATCGTGTGCACGTGGTGTTGGTGCATGCGTGTGTGGCTGTGGTGTGAAAAGCAGTCTTCGTCTTGAGTTCGTCATGTCTAGTTGTGTTTCCGTAGTCGTCTTGTAATAAACAGTCTTTCTAAATGTAGTTATCGTCGCCCATTGTATAAGTGTGGAGATGGCACGGGGCTGGGAGCAGGTGAAGAAAGGGCAGTTACAACATTAGTTTATGAGATTGGCCTATTTCTCCATTGCGTTAACATTTTTCGCTTCTCCTTCTTCTATTGTCACTGTTGGCATATTTCAAATCTCTTCTTGATTCCTCTAACTTGTGTATTCGTAATCGTGAGGGGGGGGGGGGGGGGGTGCATAGAGCAAGACCGAGCTTTCCGTACATGATTGTACAAGTATGTTCTCAATGATTTGTGGACATGTTGAAGCCATTCTAACTGGTCTATTTTATAACCTTCCTCTATGCTCACTCAACGTCGTGAGGGTGCAGTACAGTCAACTTTGCATATAACGACACTCGGCCGGGCATCAGAAAAGTGTCCTTATTCGCGAAGTGTCGTTACACGCGAAATCTCATTACATGTATACAGGTAGAATGGACTTTGCTCTGGGCATGGACATTCTGTCGTTGTTCGCAAATTGTCGTTATATCCGCAGTCGTTATTAGCCAAGTTGAGTCAATGACTGTATACATTTGTAAACCTTTAAAGGTTCACTGAGTAGAACAATGTTCATGATGTACAATGTAATGCATAGAATGTTGTTTGAAGCCGGCAACATGAGGCTAGGAATGTGTGTTTCTTCCGGACTCTGTGCAGGTATGAATGTATCTTTGTGTGTGCTTTTGTCCCTGCAGGGTCTGTGAAGGTTACTCTGCTGGTGGACCCACCATGAGCTGCTATGTACCCACAATGAGCTGTACCAGTGAATGGTGTGTGTAGACGCTACTGAACGATCGTAATGTCTCTGATCAAGTGTGTTCAGGTATTCCAAGACCTCTTTCCAGTTGGGTTTCTTTTATGGCATCTTGAACTCTTGGCTAAAATTGAATTAGATTTTACTTTATGCTGTGTTATTGCTAGAATAATCTAGTAGTGAAATGATTGACAATGCAAGTAAAAGTTTGATGAAATCCACACTGTACTGCACTGCTAGTATGTATTTGATATCTATGTTCCTACGGATGCTGAAAACTCGGCCTCTATATAGAGAAACCGAGTCTCACGCGAACCATGAAAAAATCAAATTATTTAATATCATTATCCTATGCTTTGTTGCACGGAAATGTGATCCCTTTTAAGATACGCTTTAAGCTGCTCAGCTGCGCTGAAGAGCCTAACTGTTGGCGTCTTAATAATTATTATGATTCTATGAGTTTATTGATTTTAAAACCTTTTTATGCTGTTTCTCTGCACATGGTTCAACATTGCAAGCGTACTGTATGTTTCATGTTTTCAATACTATCAAATATCCTTGATTCACCTTTCCTTTTAGCAGATGGTTTTTTCTCTCTTGAAATTAGCCTATGTTCTTTCTGCGCTTGTAGTCTGAGTAGCCGAAAAACGTAATCAGCGGCACATTCACGTCTGAAAGTTGCATTGCCTGAGAGTATGGAGAGTTACATTGTACTCGGATTGCAAGTAGTTGAAGTTACATTGTACTCGGATTGCAAGTAGTTGAAGTAGGTTGTACTGACGTATATGTATACTGTATGTGGGCTTGTAAGAGTTGTACAGTATTGTTTGATGGGCTATGCTTGACGGCATCACACGGTTATCATGAAACTGAACTATCACAATGTCAGACCGGGAATAACTCATTAGTGCAACGGGAAGATGGCTGACTGTACTTGCTCAATATGATTGTATAACTTGTTACTTGGACAATGGCGGGAGTGGAGTGGAGTTAGTACAGACAGTGTACAGTCAACTTCGCTAATAACGACTGCGAATATAACGAAATGAAGTTGTCATCATGACTATTACCGCCGAAGTCGCAACTTCTAAGGATATAACGACAATTCGCGAATAACGACAGAATGTCCATGCCCAGAGCAAAGTTCCATCCAAGTGTAATACATATAATGAGACTACGCAAGAGGTACACAAAAGGAAGTATATAGGGCTGTTTTTTGTTGTAACTCAGAGTTTCATGGCAAAAACCAATCATCAGACAACATAAGGAGATTAGAAAAACGCAGGTATATGAAGGCAAGCAGAGGAGATAGAATAATTCAGTGCAGACAATATGATAATCATTCAACACCTCCCAGAGGCAGTACGCTCTGACGTGCCAGAATCAACATCTCAGGTGCTGGGTGAAACATGAACACGCACACTCATCCACACACACACACACACACACACACACACACACACACACACACACACACACACACACTAATCCACACACAGCCTCTCGTTCTCACACACTCCACACTCCCGCATTATCACACCTAAACACATGCGCACGCACACACACACACACACGCACCAAAACACACACATGCACCACACACACACACATACACACAGCCTCTCGTTCTCACACACTCCACGCTCCCGCATTATCGCACCTAAACACACACACACGCACACACACACACACACACACGCACACACACACACACACCAAACACACACGCACCACACACGCATGCACCACATACACATACCTACACACAGCCTCTCGTTCTCACACTCTCCACACTCCCGCATTATCGCACCTAAACACACACACACACACGCGCGCGCGCGCGCGCGCCAAACACACACGCACCACACACACATACACAGACACACACACACATACACACATACACACATACACACACACGCCAAACCCATAGCACGTCATACACGTTATGTCACTTCATAACCCAGCAAAAACTTGCGCTGGTGGCGGCACTTTGATACTAACTCGCTCCTTTTGTTAAGTGAGATGGCATTTGGAGTGGTGAGGATGTGAAACTTCTCCGTGAGGCACAGGCTGCATCGTTTGCTGATGTTGCTGTAGGATGGGGCGCGATCTTTTATTTTCCAGCTGATGTCAAAGTTGCGCTGGGCGTTCTGAAGGTCCCAAATATGCTTTGAGAGTTCAAGGCGATCGAGAACAAATCAAGATTCACATTCATCGTGTTCGACATTGTGGACTTCTACCCGTCTATTACGGAAGACCTCCTGCTGCAAGCTCTCGACTACGCGAAGACGTTTGCCACAATATCCGAAAAAGAAACAGACATCATATTGCACTGCCGTAAATCGCTGTTGTTCCACAAAGGACAAGCGTGGGTAAAGAAGGAGAAGGATGGATCTTTCGACGTAACTATGGGCTCATACGATGGAGCTGAGGCCTGTGAGCTTGTAGGAGCCTTCATGCTCAGCAAGCTCCGCCCACTTCTAGGCGAGGAATGTGTCGGGTTGTACCGAGACGATGGTCTGGCCATAGTCAAGGATGCCACCGGCCATGGAGCTGACCGCTTGCGTAAGGAGATAATCCAGGTGTTCCAAACACACGGCCTGAAGATTACAATAGACGCTAACAGAAAGGTCGTCGATTACCTCGACATATCAATGAACCTCAACACCGGTACCTTTCAGCCGTACAGAAAACCAAATAGCACTCCAGTATATGTTGATGTCAGCTCCTGCCACCCGCCACAAGTATTGAAGCAGATCCCGATTGGCGTTAACAAGCGTCTTCAGCGGATATCTTGTAATGAAGACGTCTTTAATGATGCCAAGCCCGCATATGAGGACGCCCTGGCAGCAAGCGGACATCCAAGAACCATGGCATACAGTAACGAACCGGAACAAAGGAAAAGAAGGAAGCGGCGCAGCAGAGATGTGATTTGGTTTAACCCGCCCTATAGCACAACGGTCAGAACCAACGTTGGTGCAAGGTTCCTGGGCCTCATCAAAAAGCATTTTCCAAAGGGTTCGGCACTGAATAAGATCTTCAACAAAAACAAGATAAAAATCAGCTACAGCTGCATGAGAAACGTAGCCTCCATCATCAAAGGTCACAACGCTGCGAAGCTCCAGCCAAGGCCGCCCGTTGAGCCTTGTAACTGCCGGGTCAAGCCATCCTGCCCGCTCAAGGGGGAATGCCAGTCGACTGACGTCATATACCAGGCACATGTGTAATCTCCCCAGACCAAGACATACACCGGACTGACGGCCAACACCTTTAAATCGCGCTACAACAACCACTCCACAACATTCCGGCATGAGAAATACTCTACATCGACGGAGCTCTCAAAGCATATTTGGGACCTTCAGAACGCCCAGCGCAACTTTGACATCAGCTGGAAAATAAAAGATCGCGCCCCATCCTACAGCAACATCAGCAAACGATGCAGCCTGTGCCTCACGGAGAAGTTTCACATCCTCACCACTCCAAATGCCATCTCACTTAACAAAAGGAGCGAGTTAGTATCAAAGTGCCGCCACCAGCGCAAGTTTTTGCTGGGTTATGAAGTCACATAACGTGTATGACGTGCTATGGGTTTGGCGTGTGTGTGTATGTGTGTATGTGTGTATGTGTGTGTGTGTCTGTGTATGTGTGTGTGGTGCGTGTGTGTTTGGCGCGCGCGCGCGCGCGTGTGTGTGTGTGTGTTTAGGTGCGATAATGCGGGAGTGTGGAGAGTGTGAGAACGAGAGGCTGTGTGTAGGTATGTGTATGTGGTGCATGCGTGTGTGGTGCGTGTGTGTTTGGTGTGTGTGTGTGTGTGCGTGTGTGTGTGTTTAGGTGCGATAATGCGGGAGCGTGGAGTGTGTGAGAACGAGAGGCTGTGTGTATGTGTGTGTGTGTGGTGCATGTGTGTGTTTTGGTGCGTGTGTGTGTGTGTGCGTGCGCATGTGTTTAGGTGTGATAATGCGGGAGTGTGGAGTGTGTGAGAACGAGAGGCTGTGTGTGGATTAGTGTGTGTGTGTGTGTGTGTGTGTGTGTGTGTGTGTGTGTGTGTGTGTGTGTGTGGATGAGTGTGCGTGTTCATGTTTCACCCAGCACCTGAGATGTTGATTCTGGCACGTCAGAGCGTACTGCCTCTGGGAGGTGTTGAATGATTATCATATTGTCTGCACTGAATTATTCTATCTCCTCTGCTTGCCTTCATATACCTGCGTTTTTCTAATCTCCTTATGTTGTCTGATGATTGGTTTTTGCCATGAAACTCTGAGTTACAACAAAAAACAGCCCTATATACTTCCTTTTGTGTACCTCTTGCGTACTACGCTCTGCCCATTCGGGGCATTTGAGCACTATTGCAGGCACACCCTCTGTATAATGAGACTACGGGTGTAACGACACTTCGCGAATAAGGACACTTTTTTGATGCCCCGCCCAGTGTCGTTATAAGCCAAGTTGACTGTACCTCATTAAATTTTTGGTTTTCTAAGTTTTGAGAGTATGTAGACCTACAGCAAATCGCCTGTCTCCAAGTATGTTTGTATGTGTAGAGACTGTGGGTTCCAAGTTTTTGTTTGTTTTTCTGACTGATGATGCGAAAATTTGGTCGAATGTTTTTTTTGTTCTTTGTTTCGCAGTAAAGAGAGGGTTGGAAAGTGAATCATGTGTCTCTCTCAGTAGTTGCGTTGGAGTTTTAGGGGAAATTAGAAAAGTCGCTATGGAGTATGGGTGCACAATGCCAATGGTGCAGCCGATGCTGTATATACATGTAACAAGCAAGTATTCGTGACGTGGTAGATCTACATTCATGGTTCCGTCTGTCGTGTCATTTTTACAACACAATCATGATTCACCACAGTAACGGTTGTCTTATCCCCCCTAGTTACCATGGTTACTAGTAGCTGTAGCTAGCTAGCTAGCTAGACTGGAGAGTGGAGTCTGAGTCTTAGTACTACTAGATAGCCCTCTGCGAATTTCATGTGACCATGGTGCCCCAAAAAGGCCAGAATGACGGCGCCAAACCGGCTGTCCGTAACGACCTTCGCATCGACCCAAGCCATCATAGCTGCACTGTGTCTTTGTGTATGTATGTGTGTTTGGTGAAGACGCAGTTGTTACCGTTCTGCCGTTCATCTGCGAAGAAGAGGTACAGGACCATTGTGTTTGATAGTAGTTTGTACACTGTAGTCTCCTGGGCAGCGTATCCTTGTCCCAGAACCAGAGAAAGTAGACCTGTTCAGTATCATCGACTCGAGAAATCATTGTCTGTTCGTGTGTCCGTCGGTGACTATCGAGGTCTGAACAACAACGTAACATCGTTGCGTTGTTTTCTCTCGAGTCAGGGTGATGTGTTGATGATAAGCCACTAGTGTGACTTGTGCTGGAAAACCGAAGCTGCACTGTATCTGCAGCTATCCAGTATTTACGGTAAGGTACAGTGCATGTATACACTCTGTAAACATGTCACATGACTAAGAGGGGTAGACCTTGAAACCTTCAAGCAGTACAGTCTGTTAGTGCCAGGCTGGCAAGATGGGTTGGAGTATCCTATGTGGAGAATTGATTTAGATTTGCAAGACGTGAAGAAAACCCGTGTTAACGATACCTACATGTAGTTGTATTGCAAGTCAAATTCACTCTATGGAACGTACTACAACAGTAGTGCAGAGATCATAGGGAAATAGCAAAGGCAAAAGAATAATAATTATATTGATTGCGCTTCACATGGGTCATCGCAGTTCTGTTCACGTCATGCTTGAGAAGAGTATTCAACTTCACATGACCAGAACATTGCCCCTCAACACTGTCCTCAAACTGATGCATACTTCCCCTGTACTCAAGTACTTGTATATCCGTCTCTATTGTAATATTTCACGAAACCTTATACATGAACCTCTTGCAGGGCGTCGGACATGCTACGGTCACTATGGTATTGACCGTACCACTCTTCATCTCGGCTACCCTGTGAATCAATAAAACACACTGATCTGAGGTCTAAATTTCGAAATTTTCATAGGAACCACCCCAACCCCACGAGTAAATAATACTTCAGATGGCTGACAGTACCATTCTAAAATACATTCCAACACCCCTGCCTCTTGTCATTCCGAGTCACACAGCGTTTACATACAATGGAGTTCACCATGAATGCAACGAATGGGATCTTCTGATTTTGACCTCTTTGGTTGTGGGTCTGATCAGTGATCAACTCACCTCCCATCACTTTAAAATCTGCATCTGCACCCTTGATCCATAGAGGGTGGTGGAGTTGCTGCGGATTCGCAAAACTCAGTCTAACTCAGTATCATGTGAACCATGAATATATTTTACCCATGATCTAGTGAAATGATTGTGTGTACATATGAACAGTGTGAGTTTTACATAATACTCGTATGTGGCTATGGAGAACCAGCAGTGACAGTGTAAGGAGTGGTGGTATGGTGTAAGTGGTACATGGCAGTATTTGTCTCCATACACATGGGTCAATCATCTCTATGCTGTGTGTGTGTGTGTGTGTTAGCATAATGATTATATGTGTATACATGGTACATGGTATTGTGTTACACTGTACAGCCGGTCTTCTGGTTGATTGTCATTCATACTTGAGTTCTCTTTCAGCAAATTCATCGCCAGTCAGAAAAGAAAGATTCTGTTTCGCAGTCTGTTTGTTTTTGTTTGTGTTTTGTATCACTTTGTGTTTAGAACGATGCCGTTTGACTTCTGGTATGATGTTGTGCTGCCAGCATGGCATGACATAGCTCAATGCCAGATTACACATGAAGCGCTCGAGAAAGTCGTCATGGCACTGGATGAACATCATCCACATATCAGCAGAGATCCCATACTGAAGACACATGTGTTGGCTTGGAAGAAGTGGTATTCCAACACAGGGAGTTCAGCAGAGGAAAGGTTAGTCTGCTATGTTGGCTGGTTGATTACCTACAAGAGAGGACCATCAGGTGTCCAGAACTTCATTCAAGCCATCCAGTCTTCATCTTTCCCGTCCAATGTTGCTGTTGGTGGAGTGCTGGAGAGAATTTGGCAAGCTCGTAAGAATGATCATCCTGATGAAGATGTCAAGGATCCATGTGAGTAAAAGATTGCCATTTTACAAGTCAGTTCTAACACTTGCACCCAGTTTATTTAAGCAGGGGAGTAGTGCAATGATTTCATGGTATTTTGTATGTAAACTTTCATACAGTGAAACCTGTCTAAGGCGACCACTCAAGGCACGAGAAAAAGTGGTCGCCGTTGCCAGGTGGTCTTCTTACCCAGGTTCAGTGGGTCACGTGACCCTATCCACTTGTGATACATCATTGTGATAAGTGCATCACAGTGCACACACGTACAGGTATGCTACTCTAGCACGACTCATGTACCTGGGGTCCTTAGACCTGTCGAGCGTCGTGCATGCACCATGCACATATACACTTCCTGCACTGACGTGTAGATCTACCATGCATGGTGCATCATGCAATGCATACATTTACATGTACTAGCACTGTGCAACGCGGTCGCGGGTGGGTGGTCGTCGGTCGCGTTGAGCGACTGGTCGCCTTATCCGAGCTGCTTTTAATGTGAATGCGTCCGTGACAAGGAAAAGTGGTCGCCATGGTCGAGTGGTCGCCATATCCGAGTGGTCGCCATTACAGATTTTACTGTACTTCATACACGTGGAATTGCACCACTTCACTTGTTAGCTGCTCTGGCAACCCAATACTTTCACTAAGCACTCTCAAAAGACTATCTTGTAGTCTCATGAGCGTAACTATGAGATGTAGTATTGGAGGACAGGAACCACTGGAGCATGCACTGTCCTATAGTTGATGGAAAATCTGAATAATCTTTAAAGAAAAAAGCGGGGAAATATGAAATAGTGAGCACAATAGTGCGTTTGTATTGTGACCTGTATGCTGCATAAGTATCATAGCATAAGTATACCTGTTGCATACTCGTATACACCTTGTAAATGAAGATAGCACGTGCAATACTGTACATTGAAGAAATCTTTACATACATGTTATGTGTGATGTCATGCTGGTGCATGTTACAACATTATACAAGATCATGCATTCTATTCAGTAGAGTAGAACTACAGTATATTCATAAAAAGATGGACTTCTAGCCTTTGACCATAAATGGGTTGTACGACTCCTTGTTCTTGCCCGGTACGCGAACCCGTCGAATTTTTTAAATATTTTTTATCAACAATACTCCTGGAGATTTGTTTGTGATTCTTCTGATCTCATTTTCTTACAGAAGGTACCGTGATATCAGTGGTGAATGATGAAGATGTGATTGCAGTGAGAGAAGGACCGGGAGATGCTGTTGAAGGTTAGTGTTGTACATGTGGTGGTCATCCCAATTTGAGGGAAATAGATGCTCAAAGTTTGTCAGCACGAGCTTTACAGCGCTAATATTCCAACGCAAGCTTTACAGAGTCCTGTACATTAGGTCTACCTTTCTCAGCGCGGCGAAAGTGAGTGCCTACAGAGTTTGCGAGGAACATCTCAGCATGACAGTAAATCCCACTGCTAATTATAGCGCCGTGGAAACGAGTGCCCAAAAGGTCAGCGCAAAAACTCCCAGCGAGACAGAAAAGCACGCGGTTAAGTTATGTGCCACACTCAGGGGCATCACACACTTTATGACTGGTAAGACCAATGTCGTCTTACAAGGTCTGCCCAATTCATCCAAAATGGCGGTGAAATTTTCATAGGATCATGCACTCCTACATACACTGTGCACATAATTTACGGAGTTGACTTGGAGTAGACCAGGGTAAGCATATGCGCCCTTTACTGGTACTGTTCTGTCTGAACCCACAGTTGCTGCAAGTAGACTAGCATACCGAGTACCAGGTAGTTGTATTTAGTGCTGGGTGCTATGTGCTATGTAGTTACATTGACTGTTGCTGGAGTGTCCATGTAAACATGGTAGTCTAGATGTACATGTATGTCGTCAGCTCACACACACTCACACACACACACACACACACACACACACACACACACACACACACACACACACACACACACACACACACACACACACACACACACACACTCTCTCTCTCTCTCTCTCTCTCTCTCATACACACACACACACACCTGGCCTGGTGTACAGCTGCCAAATGCTTGGCCACGCCGCCCCTGAGACAGGGGAGAGTAGAAGAGAAAAGCCCGAGAGAAGTCAGCACTGCCACCAGGAAGCCGCTCCACCACGACGACGCCCACGATTGCGTACTGTATTGACAGCTACCCTAACGGGTCACGCCGCCCTCCACCCAAGCATGGGTATGATGAGGGACAATGGCAACAAAAACAAAAACAGCAAGCAGAGAGAGATAGCAGGAGAAAGACAGCGGAAGTAGTACATCTGGTGTGCGACGTATAGAAAAGAGAGATGACAAGAGATACGCACAAAAAGGAAACAATAATTATTTGAACCTGCATTATTGCAGTTCCAAAACAATCAACCAGGTGATGGAGTGTGGACACCCGAAGTCCCACCTGGACTCCACTGGAAGAACATCCCACGCAGGGATATCAGCGATAGGCCCAGTGTTGAAAAAACAGCCATGAGGACACATCTCCCTCCCTCTCCACTCTTCTATGGACAGATTTCTTGGCAGACTGTGACCCACTCGCGGACTCGTCACACCGCGACGAGTGGCAACTCTTGTCAGACGACAAGTGGCAGTGTCAATCTCTGCCCCTGGACATGACGCCTGAGTTTCCAAGAGTTGTTCTGACACTGTAGCCAACCGGGGTGGCCTTTGGCCACCCCGTGGCGCGCGCACACATACACACACACACACACTGACATGTTGCGTCGGCAAGAAGACGGTCTTTGCATTGTAACTGAAGCTGGGAAAGAACTGTCTGCTTGACTTACTTAGTTTTCTTTTGTGGTGAATCAATGGCAGTATGAACGGGAGTAATGCCCCACATAATCAAATTATAGACATGAGAAATGTCGCAGAGCATGTGATTTCAGTAGACGTGTCACATGATTGGCAGACACTGGCTTGAACAGTGCTAGGATAAGAAGTGCTATGGAAGTGTTTTGCGCTGACACTCAGTGCATAACCACAGACATGTTGCGTGCAGATAATGTGGTGCAACTTCACGAGATTCAATACCATCCCCTTCTAAGCCAATTATTAATTTGCTCAAATGCACAGCAGTCAATAAACATTCCACTGAAATACTCATGCTCAAATGGTCATGCTAAACTGTTCATGTTGAAATTCTGGTGCTGAAATGGGAGTAATCTCTGTGTCGTAGGCTAGCTAGACCCAATTCATCCTGAACGTGTCCTTCCAATTTTCTTCAATAACTTCTTCCTCATACCTACATCACATGTATTGTGCTTTGTTCTGGTGTATGTGTATTGTGCAGCTGATAATGGCCAGTACGCAGCAGCTCTAAGTGAACTGATCAAGGAAGGTGTCCAGCTGATACCGTACGGACGCCTGATAATATGCGGGCCGGGCCGCACAGGAAAGAGCAGCTTTCTACGGTCCCTCCTGCGTCAAGCGTTCCTGTCCCAAGTCGACAGCACAATAGGTGTGGAGCTGGAGAAGGTGATCTGCACCATCGAGAAACAAGGGTTACAGTATGAATGGAAGCAAGCTGAAGATTCTTACCAGCAGCAGTTGGCCCTGACGCACAGAGCTGTTGGACAAGAGCAAAGGAAGAAAGAGATAATAGCAGCACTGAGACAACAAGGTTTGGAGATCCCACAGAACACCAGTTCCACATCTTCCATGCCGTCAACTCCTGCAACATCACCATCCGCTGTGATTGAGACTGGGCTAGCAAAAACAGCCAGTGTGAGTGAATCTGCTATCAGCCAACGCGATGAAGCCACCCACACCGAGTACTGTGCTCAATCGGCTACCAGTTCATCTGAAACCATGGACTCTCAGAATGTTTCCACTGCATCCAAGCCGGAGGAGGTCTCAACCATGAGTGGACAACAGATAGCAACAGCAGAGCAAGATGTGCAGCAGCTACAGACGGAGATCAACTCAGCTACGCAGAAGTTTGAAGGCTTCATTGAAGATCTGAAGAAGGGCAAAAGTGAAGTTTTCACTGCAGAGCATCTGAAGAACCTGACATTCATAGATGTCTGGGACTTTGCTGGTCAGAAGCTGTTTGCTGCGATCCAACACATGGTCCTGGCCTGTGATCGATGTGCATATGCTGTTGTGTTCGACGCCTCAAAAGAGCTCCAGGCCAGAGCGAAGCCGACGTTTGGTGTAGACGGTGAGGAACTGCCGCTTTCCAACAGCCTGGAGCAGACCAACTTCGACGTCATGGAGACATGGTTCAACGCTATCCACGAGGTCATTGGAGACAGCGACAACGTACCCGTGTTTGCCATTGGAACACATGTGGACAAGTTAACAAAGAAGCCAGAAGCAAGGAAGAAGGCAATTGAAGAGACTGAGCAGTATATCTGGGCCAATGCGGAGGGTAAAGCTTATGCTAACAACATCGACAAGGTAGTATTTGTGGACAACACACGAGCTGGCAAAGATCCGGAAGACCCAGCAGTTGTTCAGCTACGTCACGACATCATCCAGCAGCTGCAGCATCAGTTCAATGTTCCAATACCACTTCGTTGGCTTCCTGTAACCATCTCCATTGGGCACATTGCAAAATCATTCGAACGACCATGGTTATCTGTTGACGAGCTACGTCGCTTGGCCATTGCTGTTGGTAGCATCTCCAGTGAGGATCCGGAGTCCGATTTCCAGGAGATGGTGAAGTTCCACCATGGTCTTGGTCATTTGCTTCACTTTGTTCACAATGCCCGTCTTCGTGATCGTGTCATCATCGACATCCACTGGGTTCTGAAAACCATGTCACTTCTCTTTTGTCCTGAACCGAAGAGTATGCAGAGCAAGCGTCTGCGTCCACAGTACGACTTGCTGACACAGAATGGCATCCTCCTGGAAAGCCTTGCCATGCACCGCTGGTCACAGCACAATCGTATGACATCTCGCTACACGGCCACAGAAGAGCAGCGTGATTTCCTGTTTGAGATGGGTGAACACTTTGCACTGTTCTACAACACCAAGACAACTGTGAGCGTGCCTGGTCAGAGGAAGGAGGTGACGACTCGCAAGTTCTTTGTGCCAGCTCTGGTGGAGCGAGTTGCACGTCTTCAAGATGAAGCGAGCAAAGGCAAGCCAAGTCCAGCTATGTACCTGTACAGTGGTGCAGATCGTTACTTTCCACAAACCCTGTTCTGGTGTGGTGTTGTGAGGTGTATGCAACGCTACAGTCCAAAGGTGGATCCAATCCTCTATCACACGTCAGCACGTATTCTGGTGAAGGATCGCTTCTGGCTGGTCATGCAGTATTTCCAGCATGGCATTCGCCTGTCACTTGAGATTCCTGTCGCAGCTGGCACAGCTAAGTCTTCTACTACCAATGCTGGTACTCGCACGGATAAGTCAGTTGGCTCTGCTGGCGTTGGTACTGCAGCAAGCAAGGATGAGTCGGCTGCAGTCAAGATTTGTCACGAGCTTCTACCGTACCTGGAGTCGGAGCTTGACAAGCTGAAGGCATTCTCCCTGACTCACGTGAAGTTTGGCAGGGCTGTTCGCTGTCCATGCTCGTTCAGCCGAGATGCGTGTCGCAAACACAAGCAGAAGTCTTGTGAGGAGATTGGGTGTCAACACTTTGCTCCATTGGTGGAGGGATCGCGTCCACGTTGTCCTAGTGGATCACGTCCAGAAGTGGATATCAGTGATGTACGGCAATACTGGCCATGCTTTGCCGAAGACACACAGGTAAAATAATTATAGGTCATTTTCAGTTTTCCGAAATATATTTTCCCCGTGCTTTGGGTGTATGGTCTGGTCCACTCGAGAGTATGTACAAGGCCAGTCCATGTTAGAATGGTGCAACTGTGAGGACTGTGAGGGCAAGTTCTGATTTTCAGTTGCCCTGGGCTGGAAATGTTTCTGAATTTACCAACTCTAGCACCAAGCACTCTGAACTCTAACCCGAACCAGTGTAGGCAATATTGCACAGTACAGCATGCACTCGCTGGCTCAGGGTTTGCTGTTTCCATGACAACCACCTTGTGACGAGAGACACTGGCAAGCACGTACACATTATTATTATTATGTTATAATTTTTGTCTAACCATGTCGACAAGTCCATCAAACTGAAATCTTTGAGAAAAGATTTCCCCTGATCTCATTTCTCCATAGTGTAAAGCCGGGAATTTTTTCGGTTGTGTAATATTTTCGGTGTTGCATGGGATTGTTGAATTTTAGTTCTCAGTTTATTTTAAGTAATAATTACCTGGACTGAAGTTACCGAAAATCAATCTGCTCCGAAATTTTCCCGTTTTTCAGTAGTGCTTGATTCCCGGAATGAGTAGAAGTATATTTTGCACTTGGAAGACAATAGCAATAGAAACATAAGGAGTTGATGTGGACAAATGCAATAGGGCTTGCAAGTGCTATACCGCAGTCAGGCCAGGGTCATGACAGCGCTGAAGTTAGGATCCTATTGTATCTAGTTTTGTATGGATCCATGCACGTTTGAGTTGTTTCCTTCTCCGTAAGGTGACAAATCTACCCATACTAACTGGACTGCTCCCAACCCCCCAGTATTGGGGACCACTTGAACTTCTGTCACTGAATCCAATTCAGTACACCTGCACTTGACACAATGAGGGCCTACCTGCCAGATATGTACTTTGCTATACTATCGGAGTAGATCCCCTAGAAGCCGTTATCTGGTTATCTGTTGAGTTCTGACTTCATCATTTTCTGTCCTGTACTCGTCTATAGTAAAGGGATGGGTGATTGGCTGGTATAAATGAATTTTTTGTCTGATTACCACATTGCTTTGTTTCGTTGATTCTCTCCAGACCCCAGAGCTTGCTGATCCTGAGAAACCAATGCCAGAAAAGCCAATGACAGTAGTGGAGCCCGCAGTCAAGGACAGTGGTGAGATGATTTCAGTATAGTGTGCAGTTTAAAATAAGTATATCCTGGAAAGTACAGTGCTAGTGCTGCTCAATGAAATCCAATCTTGTGAATCAAGTACGTGCCTGGCGCTGTGCAACCCTAGACCTGCAAACAATGGTTTGTGACCTGGTGCAGTGCGATGACTACTTACTTGCCTCACTTGATCAGATTTCATTGAGCATTCACTGTGGAATACGGGAATGCAGGCTGGGAAACGAGACACGAGAAGCTACAATAACCTTCCTATCCCTGGCCACTAGAGTGCAGGGTTCACGCAGGGAAGGACACACTGGAATTGACCATAATATCGGGTGCGAAGGCAGTATATAAGTCTGGGATTATTCCTATAGAAACGCGCGTGTTTGCGCTGGGCTTCTGCTCAGCTCAGGTTGGTATTGAAACCTGGAATTAGGTAGTTTATATGTATGTCCACAGTAAACGCAGGCTTGCATGCCGATAGCTCACCTTGAAAATCAGCGGGCTTGTTTTCAAAACAGTCTGTAATTGAAGACAGTATGGCATGTGTACAGGGTCATTGGAGTACAGGGTGATTGAAGAGAAAAGGATACACGGGAAGTCTTTTGCGCGGGGTCACTAGAATGCAGAGTGCGTGCAGGGGACGAGTGTTCAGGGAGCCAAGGACGGAATTGGGAATTCGCCGATTTGAACCGTGTCATCGTGATCCAGGTGAAATGCTGCAGCCGAAAATATTGGCATGTTAAAAATATATATCGACAATGCTGCCGTCCGCAATTGATCTATAGTGCCATGGAGCTCGGGCTGAACTTGGAGTTCTGGCCGAACAAACCGGGTACTGTTTCCCACCAGTATCACAGCCTAGTAGCTCTACAAGCGCTTGTCAGGTCAAAACTTGCTGCAATGATAAGGACCAACTAGAAAAACAAAAATATTGATATGGTTTCTTTATCTTCACTTCTAAGTGCTCACTTATCGACCAGTGTCAACAATAGTCTTTTTTCATAATAATTGGAGTCACCGGAAGGTGTGAACTTGCTGTTCCTGGCCCATAAGATGTGGGTGAGTTGTGTGAGGATGCCAGATTTGTGAACTGAAAGTATTGTACTTTTGTAGGGCTGAAGGGCACTGAAGACGATACCCGTATTGTTCTGGAGCAGTGTTCTTACTAAAGAGAAATGGAGAGGAGTGAATGGTACGTTTGTAGTGTTCTCCACTCACTGCTTGACCGTTTGTGCCACATTGTTCTTTGACTTGCAGAAGTTGCAGCAACTGCCCAGAAGCCCGCTGTGTCAAAGAGAGCTACAGCCTACCAGCAAGTACTGTGCAAGCATTATGCTGCAATACAGAGTACCTTAGCTATCAATGTGATGGACTGTGTCAAGAGTTTGCGTGCGGAGGGTCACCTCAGTACGGATATTGTCATGGAAACCAGAACCCTACTGAAATCAGCAGGGCAAGATGAGACTCTAGATCACATGTGCGCTCTTCTGGAGAAGCTCTCCGATGACGGAATGTGCTTCTTTGTGGAGGATATCCTGCCGTCGCAAGGTCTGTCACAGCTCGTGGAGACATTCCGTGTGTGTCCTGGTCCTGGAAAGTGTTCACTACATCGCAATGACCTGCATCCTGTATCAGTGTGTTCCAGTGACAAGACACTGTCCATGCAGACTAGTGTTGATGCCTCCCAGACTGGTAATGTCAAGAGTAGTCAACTTGAGACTGGGGTAAGAACTTGAGACTGGGGTAAGAACTCTGGTCTCTACAGACTCTGTTTAGTGATTGTACAGTGAAGCCTACCCTATCAACCAGTGCAATAAGAAGCAGCAACACCTGTGTTTGGAATCCTATCGTATTGAGGCACAGGCCATACATCACAATACATACAAACGTGTGAGATTCCTGTATACTATATATACTATACGAGAAGCCTCTTTCTGGATATCAGATGTGCTGCTAAGTGAGATTCCCCGCAGGCTTTTCTTAATACAGAGTATTTCCTATCAATCTATCTTCATGTCCACTGTAGATGTCTGAGCTTCACCAGGAAGTGCTGCGTTCAAGCTATGTGGAATTGAAGTGCAGTTTGGACGTAGAAGAGGGCATTCTGGACTGTCTCTATGCAGAGAGCATCATTACCCAACGCTTCTGCAAGAAACTCCGTGCTATGGATGATCGTGAAGACCAGGTAACCATGGCAACACCGATGATCTATGTGTATTGTACAGTGAACCCAGGATTAATTTGACATTTTTGTGAATGTCAAATTGAGACTCATTTATTCAGGTGAAATCCCCTGCCTAAGTCTATTGGAATTTCCGAAAGAGGTAGCAACTTGCAAGCAATGTCGATGTGAAGCTAGCTGTAGCCTGCACATGTAAACTAGCTACCCTTCTTTCCTTACACCACCACCACCACCACAGCAATGACCAGAATTAGGATAGTTAGATGTACAAATGAGATTGGTGAGATGAAGAATCAAACTGAACTACACTTTTTGATTTCAGAACAAGAACAGTTACTGCGGAACTGAAAAGTGACAACCGAGAAACAGTCACCAAAATGGATTGTAGGTCCATTGTATTCTTCCACATGTACACACACACACACACACCTCAGACCTCAGACATGCCCATAGCGGAAGCGATGATAGCAAACAGCTATGTTAGACATAGCAACTTGTGCTGTCATTTACACCATTCAACAGCTTGCAAGGCTGATTAATTGACTGCCACTAATTTTTAGCCTGGTATTCACCACACAGCTGATTGAAGTGGCTTTTTCTGGCCAGTGAATCCCTATTTTTCATTCCCCCCCCCCCCACACACACACGCACACACACACACACACACACACACACTCGAGAAGGACTCTATCACTTACGTGAAGTACCTTAATTTCTGAAGTATAAGCCGTACTGGAGTGTAAGCCGCACGCAGATTATTTATCACGACGTACGGTGACATCTACCGATACTTCTACCGATACGTCTAATTTAGCGATTTGTCAATGAGAACATAGTCAAGTAATGCAATTGAGTAAATGGAAAAAAAGGTAAAATATAGTATATAGTAGAAAATAGCATTACAGCTGCAAGCCTGCATCAGTACAGCTTACGGATGGCATCAGCAGCAGGCAAAGCCAGTTGTTCTACAATTCTAGTTTTTAAAAGCTGCTTATCAAGAAAATACTGTGTGTATGGGTGTCTTTTTCAAGAAAACACTGTGTGTGTGTTTGTGTGTTTGTAATGTTGTTCTGTACAGGCATCTGTCCTCTTGGAAGCACTGCCAGGCTGTGGCAAACAGGCTTTTCGCCAGTTTGTGTCCGCTCTGAAAGAGAGTGAGAAGTTGGCTCACCAGGAGCTAGCTGATCTACTGAAGAAGAAGCTGCTGGAAGTTTCCGTAAGTTGATGGTAACTTTAACATGCACTTGCCCGCTTGGCTGCTTGGAAGGTGGTGGTGGGGAGAGTAAGGTGTACCCACCAGATAAGTGTTGCTAATATCGTAACATCCCCACCAGAGCGCCCCTACCTCCGCCACCCTTCGAGTAGGTCCAGGTGGGGAGGGGCAGATGGCGAGTCCTATTTACCGCATTGAGTACTACATGAAAAAGTACCTACCCTACAAAAACTGTCCGTGCATCACCGGGGTACACCTACCAAAGGTCAAGAGCCAGGATTCGTACAGACCCATCAAAACTCAAGGTTTGTGCGATCCCAGGTCATGAGGGTGGGCACTGTTGCGTACATTTCCAACCGGGTCGAGCACGCGTCTGCAGCACAGTACGGCATCACAGAGTCATACGAGGATACAATCAATCACTTCCCTGACAAGAAGTCAGGCAGGGACGCATGGCGCTGGCGGGATTTTACGGTACATGTATTCACCTACGTTTTAATTTGAGATATGCTGTATCTGTCCACTGGCTGTCCTATGATTCCTAACATTTGATTTTTAGAGAGTAATCACTCCTAAAAGGTGATGTTAGTGAATGTATCGGGTAAATTTCGGACACGAAATGTTTCCTACACCGGGCTTCCGTGCACTTGCGAAGGGAAGTGTGTTCCATACAGGATTGGCTGGGACAAGAGCTTGTAAAGTGCAGTTTGAAGATGTTTAAGAAGACTACAAAAATGTGTTTAGACCACTGGACATGTGCATGGAGAATACAAACGTATAGACAGCCACTTGGCTTTGCTATTCTGAGTGTTTCTGCATGCAACGTGTTATAAATCCATAAGAAAACTTCCCACTATAGCTAACAGTACAGTATTCCTTTCACCCGGATAATCCCGTTTGAAGTCGTCCAATCAGGTTGTACGTAGTTCAGGGTGGGAGCTGTCACTGTGAATGTGAGGGATGGGAACTTATTTGAATCATGCAGTGGTGAAGACCGTACATGATTGGTGTACCCGGTGATCTGGCACCACCCTAGTTGGGCTAGGCCTGTGTTCTCTTCAGATTGTCTGAAATGCAGCATGGCTGGAAAAGTGTAACCGTAGTGTTACTATTAGCAAGAGTACATAACCGCCGAAAGTATGCAACTCCAGCTATGGGGTCTGCAACGGCAGAACTTCACATTACGTACTGAACCCGTACACATTATTTGCACTCTGTGCATGATAGATGCAGGGTTGTACGCTGCCCTGCTTTGGGTTCAACTCTCTTGTGGTCACTTTGCACTGTTTGCCAGCGTAACCTTTTGAACTGTGTCATGTGACGTGAAGTTCTGCCGTCGCAGAACTGTACAGAGGTTGTGGGCTTATGTGCTCTTGATATTCGTGTTCCGGAAAATTTAACACTGAGATTGTTTCGAAATGCCGTGTTCAACTCTAAATACGTATGACCAGAGTTCACAAATAAGGTCGAACAAGGTTATATTATTATGCATGCGACTGGGGTTTTCGCCCTTTTGCTATCACAAGGCCAAATTATTTTGATACAAAAGAATGAGAAATGAGTCGTATCCTATTTTCCAAAGGAGCAAGGGTTCATAATGCAACAACCTCTCCTCCTCTTCTCTAGGTGGTCTCAGCCGACACGTTGCTACCCTCGGCGCGGTAGCCATGGTACCGCTCACATTTTTATAAAGAAGGGTTGGTATCAAACGGTTTTACAGTTTGTTTCAGAAACATCAACAAAAGGCTGCATACGAATTCATCAGCTTAGTGCTCCGAGCATCAATGAATGTCTCTATGCATTGTATGCTTTGTCTGTGCAGGGTCTGTCTTGAAGTGGCTGCCACAGCAGCCATGAACTTCCAAGTACCCGCAAAGAGGTTGTCAGAGTGGCGTTTGGAGACACCGCTGAACGGTCGCGTGGGTTCAATCCAAGATTTTTCGGGTCTGCCAAAGTTTTCTACAGTTGTGTGTCTTTTAGTCATGCCGTCTTGATATCTTTGCTGGCATTCCAGCTGGCTAAGGTATGCTTGAACAAATTTTGTATATTTTTGTTAGAAACAGTACACAGTGAGATGCTTCGCAATGCAAGCTTGTAATTGTATATAGTAAAATCCACACTGTACTGCAGTGCTATTCTACGCTACGTGTCTATATCCAACGCTTTGCCATCGCTATGTTTTGATCACAGAGACTAGTCCCTTTTGAGATGAATTCCAGGTCACTGACGGTTGCGCTGAGGAGCCTATTGATCAAACAACCAATGCTGTTTGCAGATATGTGTCTATGGAGGTGGAAGCATATTTCATATTTTCCGCATATTGCCACGAAGATTCTATTTCCGTAGGTTCAAATTTTCAAATATGCTGCGCAAATTTACAAGTTTACTATACGTTTTTAAGTTTCACAACCGGTGGACTATGTTTTAAGGTTAGCCAGTGATGATTTGCACTTGCAGTCCAGTGCATTGCCTTCCTGACTACAGTGCATGGAGAAGATGACTAGGAGCTCACAATTATCATATAATTATTGAACTATGTAATTCATGTTGGCCCATGATCGTAGATGTGTTGAACCGTATAAAGCATAATACAATTATGTATGTGTATACTCATAGCTCTCTTTGCTGGACCTTGAAGTTAGTGGTCCACCTTGGTCTACCGGGCACCCTGTGGCATGCGAAAATTCTAGAGATCGGAGCGAAAATTGCCTGGTGTAGATGGTGGTGTTGCACGCGTTTCCGACAAATTTGTGTGCGGCCGATTTCCTGTCGGAGTCGTTGTCGCAGCATCGGCCAGCGTAATGTGGATCAGGCACCATACATGTAAGTATGACTGCCTGGTCGCGACATAGCAATGCACTACCTACTCGCCATGTGCACAGTACAGTGCTGGAAACTGAAATCCGACCCCCCTAGCGTCTCGTACGAATCGCTAACGCAGCTAGCGCACAGCTAGGGGGTCGGATTTCATTTGCCAGCACTGTACTACATGTACAATACGTGTAACTATTACTTGTTGTGGCGCCCAGAACTGCTGAAGTGATTCCTCTCAATCTTCTGTCTCACCATCATCATCATGACATCATTCGAATAGTCACCCTAGTTCCTGTTTCAGACTTCTTGCAGCTTGATTGCTGAGATCCCAATACAATTACAGTTATTACAATCATCATGATCATTGATGTGACATGATGTCGTTGACACACGGACGGTCAGTCCATCATGGTCCATATCCACAGGTACACGTCTACACACCGTCGCAGTAAAAAGTGTATCTCCGCGGATCTCATGTGACCATCGGGGGGGGGGGGGGGCGTACCGTATGGGCATGTGTGTTTTCTACATAGGGAACACAGCCCTACAATTTACAAAGAGACATGTGGAGAAAAACACAAAACAAGACACATGCAGAGGATGTAGGGACGACGTGCCGATGTACAGGGAGCAACTCGAGTGACCAGAGCCAGAGGTCTCGGCGTTAGCGTTGCAACCTGGCATCGAAAAAGGGGGGGGGGAGTGCATGGTCAAGTAGCAAAAATAATAATTTGGTGCGAGAAAGGGGCGCTAATATTGCACCAAATAATATAAATGCAATGTAATAACTAAAACGGAAGGGAAAAAAGAAAACAAGAAAACAAGAATCGTAACCAGCAAAGTACTAACTCAAGTAACCATGGTAACTGTTAGTAGAAAGGTAAAATTGATGGGTCTCAATATCATCGTCACAGATACTGTCTGTGTGGACCACATGCACAGCCATCTCTTTCGGATGAGATCCTTACATATGTCGTGTCCGTGTGTTGCTATCTGTATTGTATTCCGTCTGCGCCTACATGTATCTTTGTCAAGTGTTTGCCGTGGCGTCGATGTGTCTCGTCTATGAATAGCGTTGGGAAACATATCACTATTCATGCTTTGCTGGCTGGCTGCTCGCGCCCTTCGCTCCTTCAGCTTGCACGCTACTAAGACATAATAGCAGTATATAGCTCGATGCTTCGCTTCGAGAGGTTGTTGTTCTTGTTGCTTCTCGGTTGCTTGGAACTTGGTCCTAGGTGAAGCTTTGGTCTTCTTGTGTGGTGAGGGTGAGGAATGGGTATCTGGACTCCTGGTATATTTCCGTAAAGAACCTGGAATCGTAGAATCCTGATAGTATGTCTGGCCCACTCCCCGGTCATGACACATACATGTACGTTGACCTTGAAGGTTTTAGAGGCGCCTTGAATGAGGTTCGTGAAGCAGGCCAGGAGGTCCGGAGGCAGGTTGTTCCAGGGTGTCACCTGGTCACTGTGATGGCGAAGAAGGGAAAGGATCGCAGGAGGTAGTCCGGGGCTATGCGAGGGGGTGTCCACTTCAGCTGGAACTGTATGCATCTGACGTTTTTGCCGTGGTGGCCGCAAAACTACAGACAGTACATAATAATATGATGTCATTGTAAGAAGGGCAGAATAAACATGCGAAGAAAAGCGCCAAACCGGCTCTGTCCGCAATGACCTGCCCGGCGCCCAGTGTCTGCAGTGACCTGGTGACCATGGTGACCCGCCACTCCGACTCGCCACTGTCACCATGGTCACTGACTTGTCTTTACAGTGTAGATCTACTGTACGCGTCGCCTACTGTACAACCGGTACCATGACTACTGCCATGCGCCAGTACATTTCGTTCATTTTACTTTTTAGTGGTAGATCTACGCTACTATTTTTTAGTAAATTTTTAGTACATTTTAGTAAATTATTTGCCTAAAGTAAAGTCATCACCAGACTGATTACCATGAAGGCCATCCTGTTCTCGCGCAAGCGCGCTACACTACAGACAGTCAAATTTTGTTTGGTAAAGACGCTTTACCGATCATCTGCGAAGAAGAAAGACAACTCTAGATAGTCTAGTATCTTTGGGCCGTAGCGTGTTTGGTCACTGCACTGGCCAGCATACCCTTGTCCCAGACTGACCAGAGAGAAAGTAGACCTGTTGCGTATCATCGACTCGAGAAATCATTGTCTGCTCGTGTGTCTGTCGGTGACTAAGGAGGTTTGGACGATAACGTAACATCGTTGCGTTGTTTTCTCTCGAGTCAGGGTGATGTGTTGATGATAAGCCACTAGTGCGACTTGTGCTGGAAAACCGAAGCTGCACTGTATCTGCAGCTATCCAGTATTTACGGTAAGGCACAGTGCATGTATACACTCCGTAAACATGTCACAAGAACAAGAGGGATAGACCTTGAAACCTTCAAGTGGTACAGTCTGTCTGGCAAGATGGGCTGGAGTTATCCTATGTGGAGAATTGCATTTCGGATTTAGATTTGCAAGACGTGAATAAAATCCGTGGTAGTGATGCGTTCTACTCCAAACTACTACAGTGTAGTAGTGTAAGTGAAATGTATTCTAACATGCTACACTAGTCTACACTGTAGTACTACGACAATAGTACAGCGATAAGGAAATGAATAGTACAGCGATAAGGAAATGAATAGTACAGCGATAAGGAAATGAATAGTACAGCGATAAGGAAATGAATAGTACAGCGATAAGGAAATGAATAGCACAGCGATAAGGAAATGAATAGTACAGCGATAAGGAAATGAATAGTACAGCGATAAGGAAATGAATAGTACAGCGATAAGGAAATGAATATGTTGTAGTTTATGGTAACGTGGCAGCCACTGGCTGGAACTGTATTGTTACTTGTGCATGCTCTGCTTGGTATACCTTCTGCGTGATGCCATTTTCCGTGTATTGATTGTAGGTTAGTGAGTGCGCGTCTGCGCGGTGGTGCATGCTTTTCCATTCACTGATTGACCTGTCAGCGGTCAATCTTCTAGTTGCGGTTTCGGCGTGGTCTGCGCTGCCCTTATTCCGAGTTTGTAGCTTTTGTGTGCATCCTGACTTATGTATGGAGTGTGCTTGCGTGCACGCTTGCTACGCGTTACTTTTGGCAAGCTGGCCATGGTTCTTTTTCTGGCTTAGCTTCCGTTTGATCTTGGCGTGGAGTTAGTTCCAACTTGTGGTGATAACAGACGTTTCTCATTTTCCATCTAGAAGAATAACTAATTTCCTTGGAAGCTCTGTGGTGTTGTGAGTGAACTGGCCGTAAGCCGGCGTGGAGTGCATGTTCTCCAACAGCTTTTGGTGCCGAAACCCGGGACAACGTGTTGCAGAGTAGGACTTTTGTGGAGTCGGAAGGAAATAGAAAGTCTTAGTGTTTGTTCATGAGAATAAAATGTCTGTGAAGTTGGATGGATTTATGCGTCCGTACCGAGGGCGAGGTGACGACCTAGATGTATTCTGGTCAAAGTTTATGATCCTGGCGAAATCCCACAAGTGGGATACGGGCAAAGAGCAGATGGCAAACTTGCCGTTGCTCTTGGATAAGGCTGCGTATACTGTATTCAACGCCATGCCCGACTCGGACAAGGAGAAACCTGACGAGGTGAAGAAGGTGTTGACTGAAGCCTTTGCTCCTTCTGCTGCGGAGTGTTACCGCTTGTTCAAAGCGCGTTCCATGGGATCCACAGAGTCAGTAGACGAGTATGCGGCGGAGCTAAAGAGGCTGTTGAAGAGCTCTGGTCACAACATTGCGGACGACAAAGATCCGATGCTGTTAGAACAGTTTGTTGGGGGCTTGCCCAGAGACTTCGCCAGAGAGGTGAGAATCCAGTGCTCTAGCGGTAGCATGACTCTTACCGATATGATCAAACGTGTCAGGGCTATGTCCGTCGATGATACTATAAGTGTCAGTGGAGGGAAGTCCGTGGCTGCAGCTGTCAAGTGCTATTCATGTAAGGAGCCTGGTCATGTAAGAAGGAATTGCCCTAAGGCCAAGGGCAACAGCCACACCACTGGCAAGTCACGAGGGCCACAGTGTTACTCTTGCAAAGAGTATGGCCACATCAGGCGAAATTGTCCAAAGGCCAAGACTGAGTCTGCTTCAGTGGCTGTGAGTGCTGGGCATTGTCAGGCTGGAGTGTCTACTGATGCTGACGGAATCCCAATATCAACTGGTGGGCAGAGCTCTAAGCTGCTGAAAGTTGATGTGTGTGTTAAGGGCCATGATGACTCTTGGATATCAGTCGCAGCGGTTGTGGATACTGGATGCACGCGATCTCTGATGAAAGAGAGTGTAGTAACTGCCGTGGGCCTGGCTGATCAGGTGGAATCGACAACTGACTGGGTGGTCGGCATCGACGGCACGTCCCTGGAGTCAGTTGGATCTGTTGCTGCGACTGTCCAGCAACATGATGATATAGTTCAGCTTCCGGAACTGTGCGTGGACTTCCTGGTAGTTTCAAAGCATGAGGGAGTGGATGCTGACCTGATTCTTGGCAATGACGTTGCCAGCGCGGCTGGTGGTCTTGAGATACGCTACCAGAATGGCTCGGCGAGTGCTATTCGGTTCGGAAAAGGGCCCGATGTAGCGGCTGCCGCAGCTGGCCATGCTGAACGAGCGCCGAAGCAGAAGCTCTCGAGGCACATCTCTGTTGAGCGAGATTCGGATGGTGTCACCCTCAGTTCAGCCGATTTCAAGGTGCGCTGGGACAATAGTGCAAAGTCGTGGACCGTCGCCTGGGTCTGGGGAGGTGGTGTAGAGCCGACTGATAGCATTGGCTCCGGAGTGACACAGTACTCACGGAAGAAGCTCTCTGCAGAGCAGGAGCAACAGTACCAGAAGGAGGTGCAGTCGTGGAT